AAACTACTAGTTGGAATTCAATACAACTTCATACAATGGTCAAACGCAATGAGAGGAAGTGCAGTGTATAATAACCATAACTCCATCTTCAGTATTTATAGAGTTATTGCCCTTTGTTCCTTTTCCTTGTCTTTCTGGACTTATTACAGAGTAATTTAATAAAACTTCATCAATGGCCAACCACATTGAAAGGAAATGCAACATACAAGAACCACAACTATCTTAAATTGCCCACAACCATAACTCAATTTCAATTCTTTTACAAGGTATTCTGTTACTAGTAACAACCTCATTTCCGAAGCAGTCTTGTGGGGGTATTAATCACATTTAGTGATAGTTCTAGTTTCAATTGGCCCCTTTTAGGGGTCAACAGAGCTAAAAGTAGAAAAAAACTTTAAACATCTTCTGCTACAACTAATTGATGGATAATCACCAAACTTTGTCTGTAGCATTCTTGGATAGTCTTTTATCAAATTTGCTCATATTAATTTGATTGGCCCCTTTTCGGGTCCGCTAAAGCTAAAAATAGAAATACCTTTAAACATCTATATCTAGAGAACTAATTGATGGATGATCACCCAACTTTGTGTGTAGCATTCTTGGGTAGTCTGATATCAACTATGCTCAAATTTATTTAATTGGCCCCTTTTAGGGGTCTCTAGGGCTAAAAATTGAAAAGCCTTTAGACATCTTCTTCTACAGAACTAATGGATGGATGATCACCAAACTTTGTCTGTAGCATTCTTGGGTAGTCCTTTATAAAGTTTGGTCATATTAATTTGATTGGCCCCTTTTAGGGGCCGCTAAAGCTAAAAATAGAAATACCTTTAAACATCTATATCTAAAGAACTAATTGATGGATGATCACCAAACTTTGTCTGTAGCATTCTTACGTAGTCTTTTATCAAATTTGCTTATATTTATTTGATTGGCCCTTTTTAGGGGTCTCTAGGGCTAAAAATAGAAAAACCTTTAAATGTCTTCTTCTACAGAACTAATCGATGGATGATCACCAAACTTTGTCTGTAGCATTCTTGGGTAGTCTGATATCAACTGTGCTCATATTAATTTGATTGGCCCCTTTTAGGGGTCTCTAGAGCTAAAAATAGAAAAACCTTTAAACATCTTCTATAGAACTAATTGATGAATGATCACCAAATTTTGTCTGTAGCATTCTTGGGTAGTCTTTTATCATATCAATTTGATTGGCCCCTTTTAGGGGCCGCTAAAGCTAAAAATAGAAATAAATACCTTTAAATGTCTATTTCTACAGAACTAATTGATGGATGATCACCAAACTTTGTCTGTAGCATTCTTAGATACACTTTTATCAAGTTTGCTCATATTAATTTGATTGGCCTCTTTTTCTACTGAAATAATTGATAGATGATCACCAAATTAAACTAGCATTATTAGGTAGTCTTTTATCAAGTTTTTCTTAATATTAATTTGATTGGCGCCGTTTAAGCTAAAGCTTAAATGCCCCAGGTCATGGCATTTCTTCAAATTATTGTTTAAACATATTCTATGCTCAAATTAAATATCAGAAAATATTAACAATGGATAATTTCCAACTCTGAATAGCAGTTGTTTCTGGTGAGCGACTCTGGGCCATCATGACCCTCTTGTATAACTTTTTAGTTATTGCCCTTTGTTATTTTTCATACTTAATTTTTCACCTTAGTGGAGCATAACTCAAAAGTGTTTGAGCTGTCAACATGAAATGTCATAGGTGGATAGATCTTATTCAGAGGAATGCTGTGCACAAGATAACTTTTCCCTATATAATTTTTGAGTTATTGCCCTTTGTTCTTTTTCATACTATTTTGTCCAGAGCTTATCTCAAAAAGTATTTGAGGTATCAAGTTGAAACTTCATAGGTGGATAGATTTTACTGAGGAAGGGTGCAGCACACAAGAATGATAACCTACCCTGCATTATTTTTCAGTTATTGCCCTTTGTTATTTTCAGCATTATTTTTCAGTTATTGCCCATTGTTAGAAACGTATTGATTTCTAAGTACTTCAGATTTGTGAACGTTGTTAATGGCGTCAATATGTTACGCTACTTTACGCGACGTAAGATGTTTACGTCGACGTCATCATTTTTGTTTTGTTTTGTTATTGAGAATCTCGTCATTTTAAATCTGGAACTTGATGTATTGAGACAAGTCAAAATCGGTATGTTTAATTTTTAACAAAATAATGCAATTGTTTTAAAAGATAATTTACAGTAAGATTTAAATTTAAAGGTACAAAATTTCTAATTAGATTTATTGTGTAATTCATATATAGTTTATTGATGATGTGAATGTTTTTATGTTTATTATTTATTGCGAAGTACAAATTGTAAATGAATATTTTCAGAGAATCGCTTATCAATGCTTATCAACGCTTATTGACGTTTATCAAGGAAATAAAAGTTAAAGGCGCATACTCGTTTAGATTTATATTTGAAGTAGAACCCAAGTTCCCGAACAATTCTGGATTTCTTCAATATGGAGGAAGTATCTACCGAAAATGGAACAGATCCTACGCATGAGGATTTTGGTAGTGTTAAACGTTCACGTTCTTCGCAACTCGGAAAATTGACCCGATTATACAAAGACTTAGAACTGAAAATGATATCACATGAGAACGCAGATGAGGTACAAATATTGTATGACACGTTGTGTGAGCGCTTTGAATCATTTAAATCAACACATTTGTTATGCTTAGACTTATGCTCAGACCCGGATGTACGGAAAACGCTTGAATTGAATTACGAACATTGTAGTCAAAACTTCTTTGAGTGCCAGGAAAAGATTTTCACAGTGGAAAACTGTGCAGAAAATACCTGATGATGATGTTTTTTATCTACAGTTAGCAGTGCAAATTCCGTGTCATCACAGGCAAAGTTGAAAAAGTGCGAAAGCAAAACGTTTGATTGCGGAATTAAAATTAAAATCATTGGAGAAAAAACATGGACTCGAATTAGCGCGAAAGGAACTCGAATTTAAACAGCAATTACTTGATCAACAGGTCGTTCTTGAAGAAGCGCAGATAGAAGAATCCGTATGGCAAGACAATTGTGTTAACGCGGATGAATCTTCAAAGCAGACGATATTAATCAATGAGTCTCCTAGTGAACAAAATTCAAATAAACGTCATACAGGCAAAGATGGGATTTTCAAATCCAGAACTGATACATCAGCATGTTTATTATCCGATGATGGAATTAATAATAATCATCACAGAATGTTGGGCGGTACAAGCGGATTTGATGCAGACGACATTGTTGAACGCACTAACTCCCGTGCTGCACGTTATATGAGTAATACTGAATCGTACAAATTGTCAAATCGCACGCTAAACGCAGTATCTGGTAACGAATCATGTACAAGAAATTCCGAAGTTAGTGAATCCGGTATTGATACAGCATTTCAAAAACTTGCTTTCGCGCTGCACGAGGGATTCAATTTACCAAAACCGGAACTATTAACTTTCAGCGGAAAGCCAACGGAATATTGCAAGTTTATAAAGAACTTTGAAACTAATATAGAAAATAGAGTTTCTGATGACAGCCAACGGTTGAGCTATTTAATACAATACTGTTACGGAGAAGCAAAAATTTGTATCGAAGACTGTGTGTTGTTAGAACCAAGTGAAGGATACAAACGCGCACGAGAAATCTTATACTCTCGTTATGGAAGACCGCACGTGATCACGAGGACATACATTGAAAAACTTGTAGAAGGTCCCCAGTTATCAGCATCTGACATTAAAGGTATTTCTAATTTAGCCATGGAAATGCAAAAATGTGAAATCACGTTATCACAACTAGGTTTCTCTTGTGAAATAGATAACTCTCAAAATTTGAGACGTATAGTGAAGCGGTTACCAAATGCATTTGAGAGTGAAATGGGTTGAGATCGCACACGTGATTAATGAGTCTGGTAGAGAACCAAAGTTTTCCGATTTAGCGAGATTTGTAGATGAAAAGTCGCGAGTTGCTAATTCCATGTACGGTATAGACATTGTTAAGGAGAACAGAACATTAAAAGTGGAACACAAGACGACTTCCGGTCGATTTTATGCTGAAAAACCATCAAAAGATATAACAACACTGACTACTCAGAGTAATACGGAAATGAAGAAGTACGAGCGAAAATGTAGATGTTGCCATGGTAACTGTACAGACTTATGTTCATGTGTGAAATTTAAGTCTATGAATTTAAACGAACGGAACGACGTAGTTAAAAAGAACAAACTGTGCTTTAATTGTTTGAAAGGAAATCATTCCTTTAATAACTGTAGAAAACCAAAGTTATGTACCGTGCCGGATTGTAGAATTAAACACAATATTCTACTACATAGTTGGACTGGACCACGTAACGAGGCCTCAGTCACACAATCCTCGGTGAATTGCGCAGCTGTTAAGAGTTCATTTGTGAAGAACTGTTTGGGTGTTGTGCCTGTGATTGTAAGAGGCGAAAACGGGATTCAGTGTCATACATACGCGCTGTTAGACGATGGGGCTGATAAAACACTATGTGACGAGAGACTGTTACAGAAGTTAAATGTTGATTGTAAGCAAATTACGTTCCAAATATCAACCGTGAACTCATCTAGCAGCACGAGTTATGGATATGAAGCGAACCTTACAGTTATGGCTGTAAACGGAACCGGAAGTGAGGAAGTCTCCCTCCGTAAGGTATGGTCGGTGAAGAAGCTACCGATATCTGCAAAATCAGCGGCAATGCATTTAGACTACAAAACTTTTCCATACTTATCTGACATTGAAATTCCCCAAATTCCCAATACTGATGTAATGCTTCTTATTGGCACAGATTTCCCAGCAGCCCATATCCCCTTAGAAGTACGGTCAGGAGATAGTGACCAACCATATGCAGCCTAGGATGGGCGATTCGTGGTCCCTTGAAAGACGATACAGCTCCCAGTGCAGTAAATATCCACTTTGAACAGTCCAGAGACATATTATTACAGGAACAATTAGAAAAGATGTGGAATACTGATTTCAACGACAGATTGAACGAGAAAACTTCTATGTCCTTAGAAGACAAAAGTGCAATGAAAATAATGGAATCTTCTCTTATTCATAAAGACGGACACTACATGATGGGGTTACCATGGAAAAACGAAAACGGACAATTGCCTAACAACATTCCACTCGCTCAAGTGCGTCTCCAACAACTGAAAAACAAACTGTCACGTGACCCAGGATTACAGAAAATGTACACAACTACCATGAATGAATATATAGAGAAAGGTTTTGCGACTGAATTACCGGAATTGGAGGACGAAAACTATCACAAACGTATCTGGTATTTACCACATCATCCAGTTACTAATGTAAACAAACCAGGGAAAGTTCGCATTGTGTTTGATTGCGCTGCGAAGTATAAAGGCGTTTCATTGAATAGCCAACTGCTCCAAGGACCTGACCTAATGAACAGTCTTATGGGCGTAGTAATTCGTTTTAGGAAAGAGAAAATAGCCCTTGCCGCGGATATAGAATCCATGTTTCATCAAGTGCGCGTTACGGATGAAGATCGCAATGTTTTACGTTTTCTATGGTGGCCTGGTGGGGACTTAAATAAGAAACCAAAGTGTTACCGCATGAATGTACACTTGTTTGGAGCGACATCATCACCAAGTTGTGCGGCGTATGCCTTAAAGAGAACTGCAGTTGACAATGCCGAAATATTTGAACCGGAAGTGGTTACTACAGTCCAGAGAAATTTTTATGTTGACGACTGTTTGAAGTCTGTGGAATCAGAACAAAAGGCAATAAAGTTAGCAACTGATCTTCAGTCAATTATGAAGTTAGGCGGATTTCGACTAACTAAATGGCTAAGTAACAGCAGAGAAGTTTTGAATGCTATCCCAGAATCCGAACGCGCGCCTTCTGTTGTAAATTTGAGTCTCGATGATGCCTTACCTTGTGACCGCGCCTTAGGAGTACTTTGGAATGTAAATGAAGATAAAATTTGTTTTAAAGTAAAATTGGAAAAGAAGCCTTTCACGAGACGTGGAATTCTTTCCGTCGTAAGTTCTATATACGACCCACTTGGACTTGTGTCACCTGTTACACTCCAGGCCAAGGGTATAGTTCAAAGTTTGTGCAGATTGAAGATTGGCTGGGACGACCAGATACCACAAAACATCAGTAATGAATGGCAAACTTGGTTATCTACCTTATCTAGCTTAGAAAAGCTATCTGTGAATCGCTGGTACAGACCACAGGGATTTGGGACCGTCAGAAATACCCAGTTACATATATTCAGTGATGGCTCGGAACGAGGCTATGGTGCATGTGCTTACTTGCGTTTTGTTGATGTACATGACAACGTACATTGTTCCCTGGTGATAGGAAAGTCTCATCTAGCACCAATAAAGCAGATGTCTATTCCACGACTGGAGTTATCTGGCGCTGTAGTAGGGTGTAGATTATTTGCAATGTTATCTGAAGAATTAGATATGAATTTTGACCAAGTTACCTTTTGGACAGACTCCATGATTGTTCTTGGATATATAAATAACGTGTCCAAGCGGTTCAAGACGTTTGTTGGGAATAGACTCAGCATAATTCATGAAACAACTTCCCAGACCAGTGGCGCCATGTGCACACAAGTTCGAATCCCGCAGACATAGCTTCCAGAGGAATAAGTGCATACGATACTGAAAAACTTCATTTATGGTTAAATGGACCAACGTTTCTTTCAGCAAGACTCTGAAAAATGGACAAAAAATCCACTTCCGCCGGAAGTAGCAGAAAATGATAACGAGGTCAAAGAAAGAAGTCCTGATTAATAAAACTTCTGCAGCTGAATGCCTAGATAGCATTATAGATCGCTATAGTAGCTGGACGAAAACTAAGAAGAGCAGTCGCATGGTTGCTAAGATACAAGACTTTCTGCAGACAGCGATACCTAAAACACAAGTTGAAAAATGGTAGATGGCAACTTAACATAGAAGAAATCCAGACAGCAGAGCATAACATAATGTTGTATGTACAGAATACAGCATTTTCTAGTGAAATTAACAATTTACAAATTCTAAGCCGGTCAAAAAGGACAGCAGTATCGCTTCATTGAATCCTGTGATATATGATGACCTCATTCGGGTACAGGGTCGACTTCAATCTCGCAAAACCGAGTAAATGTCCAGTGATACTACCCAATAAAAATACCGTGACAAGATTGATAATACGACATATACATGAAAATAACGGTCATGCTGGGAAACAGCATGTACTAGCCGCATCCGTGAAAAATACTGGATACTTCAGGGACCTAGTGCAGTGAAAAATATTGTAAAGAATTGCATTATATGCAGACGACAACATACCCCATTGATGACTCAACAGATGGCCCCTCTCCTACCCGAGCAGACGACACCAGATGAACCTCCGTTCACGAATGTAGGTATTGATTACTTTGGACCACTTATTGTAAAAGCAGAGCGTACACATGTTAAGAGATACGGTTGTCTTTTCACGTGTCTTGCAACTAGAGCAGTACATCTTGAAGTTACACACACTTTGACAACTGACTCATTCATCGCAGCATTTCAGCGTTTTACGGCTAGAAGAGGATATCCGAAGAAGGTGTACAGTGATAATGGAACAAATCTTGTGAGCGGTGATCGTCAATTAAGACACTCGATTCAAGAATGGAACAATTCGAAAATAGGAAAATTTATGACTGAAAAAGAAATTAAGTGGAACTTTAACCCACCTCAAGCAAGTCACCGAGGAGGAGCGTGGGAGAGACTGATTCGTTCTACGAGAACTATTTTGAAATCATTAATCAAGCAACAACTTCTTACAGATGAGCAGCTTCTTACTTTGATGACAGAAGCCGAAAGGGTACTCAACGATAGAACCAATAACCCCTGTTAGTGACGACCCAAATGACTTGTTAGCCTTAACTCCAAACATGTTACTATTAATGAAATCTAACAGCAGTATTCCAAAGGGAGTGTTTAAGAATGAAGACAATTATGTAAAGCGTTGGTGGAAACAAGTACAATATCTGGCTAATATATTTTGGAGAAGATGGGTCCGTGAATATATACCGTCCCTGCAAAGTCGTTCAAAATGGCAGAGGAAAACTACAGATTTGCGTGTTGGTGACATTGTGTTAGTTTCTGACGAGAATACTACAAGGGGACAATGGCCCTTAGGACGTGTTATCCAGATACGAGAAAGCCGAGATGGACATGTTAGAAGTTGTGTTGTTAAATACAAAGACACTGAATCAGTGAAATCTATTACTAAATTGTGTCTACTTGAAAGTTCACCTTAGTCATACTCATGTTGCTTATTGACATTTTAAAGTTTAAAAGCTAAGCTTTAACATTTACCATTCGAATATACATATTTTTAAGTTGGCAAAGGTCAATTTTGTCTCTTTATTGTACATGTACTTTTTATTGCCAATTTTGATGAAATTTAAGAGTAATTTCATGGCGAGGACTGTTAGAAACGTATTGATTTCTAAGTACTTCAGATTTGTGAACGTTGTTAATGGCGTCAATATGTTACGCTACTTTACGCGACGTAAGATGTTTACGTCGACGTCATCATTTTTGTTTTGTTTTGTTATTGAGAATCTCGTCATTTTAAATCTGGAACTTGATGTATTGAGACAAGTCAAAATCGGTATGTTTAATTTTGAACAAAATAATGCAATTGTTTTAAAAGATAATTTACAGTAAGATTTAAATTTAAAGGTACAAAATTTCTAATTAGATTTATTGTGTAATTCATATATAGTTTATTGATGATGTGAATGTTTTTATGTTTATTATTTATTGCGAAGTACAAATTGTAAATGAATATTTTCAGAGAATCGCTTATCAACGCTTATCAACGCTTATTGACGTTTATCAAGGAAATAAAAGTTAAAGGCGCATACTCGTTTAGATTTATATTTGAAGTAGAACCCAAGTTTCCGAACACCCATTGTTATTTTCAGCCATCAGTATTCACATAGGTTTCAAATCTGTAATCACTTCAGCCATCAGTTTTCATTACCAAAAGACCTCTTAAAATGGAATTATTCTGCTCTACTACATATACTTTCTTCCAATGAGCAAACACATTCGGCCGGGGATGGCCATGTTGAATGGCTCTTGTACAGAATTGTATTGTAATTTTGCTATAAGAACTTTTTAATTTTTTTTTTTTTTTTTCATAGAAATTAAACAGATGTTTATTGTTGGTTTGAGTCTATTTAGAGCAGTATTTATTATTTTGTATGTTGATTATTAGAAACTTGTATTGTAACTTTATAAGATAAGCTGTAGTAAGCACACTTTTTAGAACTCTTATTTTAATTTGATCTTTTTATACCGATATTTAAGCTGCATGCCTCCAGATGAGCCAAATTATTTCAAGAAAATCAAACTTTGGGAAAATGTAATGTGAGAATTATAGAAAAGTAAAATGATTTAAGATAAAAGAATAATTCCTGTGCGAAAAATGACCAGTTTTTTTTCTTCAGTATTTTTCACCATATTTTTATAGGGCTATTTTTTTTAAAATATTTTTTTGGTAAATAACATGGGTTGTTATTGCAATGTGTAAATTATTTTCTTTGTTCACTTCACATTTTCAAAATTTTCATGAAAATTAGCAGGAATCTGGAGGCTTGCTGCTCCAAAGTATATCAGTTTTGCTATAAAATACCCCATCTCTATATACATCTATTAAAAACATATAGTATTTCTATAGAAGATCAGATTTTTTTGGGTAAATTTTGATGAAATTTCTAATTTTTTAGATTATTCTGAGTTATGAAAGTCTTTTTGTTTGAATCTCAACTTTTTTGTATCAGAATACTCAAGTGCTTATTTTGCTTGCCGATGACAAAAGTATATTGAATTTGATAGAATTACAAAATTGAATTTTGTTAATTTAGATACATACATATTTACAAATTACAAAGATTTTATTACTTTATTTGGATTGATGTACTCCTTATTATACATTTGTACATTGTTCAGACTCACAGAGAAGACTGGGCTTGCCCAACAGTATTGCCTCATTAAATAAAGTTGTTGCTTATTTGCTTATATATAATACATATTTTATCATACAATGCTATGTATGATCATTATTGAATTACAAATTTCCATCCGAATTTCTGTTCGGTATTTGGTGAATTTGCTTGGAAAATACAACCTAACAAAAGGCCATTTGGCCAAAAGCTAAAACTTGAGTATAAACTTAATATAGTGTAACCTTGGAAGTAAATTATATAAGTTTTAGTGTAAATTCTTGTTAAATTGTAATTTTGGAAATATTTATATTGTTGTTAAGTTGTATTTTTGGAAATATTTTTATTTGTTAGTTTGGTGAAAGTACTTTATATACATAATTTTGTGTCAATAAATTTATTTAAAACCAGTGAAAAGAATTAAAACAATAAAACAAGATATGTTTATTTTTTATTTCTGATGCTTTTAAGACAGAATCAAATAAAGTTTAGCCTCAGCATATTGACTCTCTGTAAAAAAAAAAAAAACACAAAAAACCTCAATACAACAGTCAGTGGTATATAATTTTCTAAGATAAGATTTCCCATTTCAACCTCTCTGGAGCAAAACCTTTCAGGGGACAACCAAAATTTTTGTCTCCCAAAGATTGTTGCTGTGCAGGGGTTGTCCTGTATTAATTTAATGTGTTAAGACTACAGGGGAGTGGTGGCCTAGTGGTAAAGGTGTCTGCCTCTCAACCAAGGGATCATAGGTTCGAGCCCTACTTTGGTCACGAACATGTTTCTTCATGTCACACCAGTACTGGCTGGTTCCTGGAAGCGGATTGGAAAGTTATTAATATAAGTTGCAAGAAGTTGTTTCGCAATTGAGCTGAAAAAAATATGTTTAAACTAAACCATATTCACTTCTGCATCAGTTTTTACATACAATTTCCAATCCATTGAATTAACCAATGAACATACTCATTTGAAACAGGTTAAATATCACACTTGTGTTTCACTATCCAAGAGCCGTAACTCTTGCATGGACTTTTACTGAATTATAGTTCTTTGTAAAACTTTCCTGTAAAGGTTTACTATGCAAGTTCTTTCTTCACAACAAAAGGGGGTTTTCACATGAATCTTTCACATGGTTAAGTCATAAGTAATCAATGTTATAGGTCACTTTCATAGGCGGTAAGGCCCATTACTCAAGTATGAATATTTACTAAATTATGCCCCTTTGTGATGTAAAAAAACTGTCGGGTTATGATTTGCAAGGAAGATTTATATTTTCAAATTAAGCTGCTCGTTTCAACCTTGTATTTTCTAAGACTTTGTAAGTCACACCTTTCAGAATATTGGAGTGCTCTGATAAATTGAACTAAAAACATACAACACGGCTAAGGAAAAATAATTTTGTGATACTACGTGGATGTAAAGAAAAAATGATAATAGGGTTTTATGAATATACATGTATACATAATAATTTCATCTATGTATTTCTTTTAAAGAAGACAGCAGAAAATGGCTACAGCTTCAACATCCTGTGACAAGCTGCCAATAGACTGGGAGGTTCTGTGTGCAGAAGGTCCCGCCCTAACCAATCATGTGGGATGTGTCATAGGAAACTCTTTCTACATCCATGGTGGAGTAACTAAGTATGGGACAACCCACCCGTCGGACAAACTGTACAAAATGGAGTTATTGTCATCTAGATGGGCAGAGGTCACGGATCCTGGATCACCCAGCTTGAGTCACCATGCTTGTGTTGTCCTAGAAAATCGGTACATGACTCTCATCGGTGGTTGGGATGGAAGACAGCGTGTTACAAAAATTTATGTTTATGATACACAAGAAAAGCGGTGGCTTTTTATGAATGATTCAGGATTTCCTGAAGGGGCGGGGCTAAGCTCCCATGCTGCAACTGTGTTTTCTTCTGGGAGGATTTTAATCATTGGTAGAGAAGGTAGTTTAAGGCTTCAAAGGAAGCATGGCAATGTTTATGAATTGACAGGTAGTGTATTAAGTGGGCAGTTTGTGTATAGAAAAATGACGAACGCAACTTCTTCAAGATCAGGTCATACTGTGAACTGTTTAGGTAATACGGTGTATATCATCGGTGGACGAGACGATCAATTGATAGAATTCCATTCAGGGTACAGTACTGCTGAACCTAATGGCAGTTTAACATCAAAATTTGCCAATATTGTTAAATCCTGTAAGCCAATGACAAAACCACCAAGTGGCAGGAAAAATCATGTGACCTTTACTGGGAATGGTTGTATGATTATTCATGGAGGTGAGACATTTGATGGGAGATCCAGGGAACCAGTCGGTGAAATGTTTCTTGTTACAACCAAACCACATTTGACTTACTATAAAATAGGAAATGCTTCAGTCAGTAGGGCATCCCATGTCTGTGTGAATACAGGGGACAGAGTGATAATTCACGGAGGCATTGCTGGGAAAAATGTAGTTCATGGGGAAACATATGAGTTGAAGCTAAGAAAATGACTCAATCACACATAGTGATGAGAATCACACATATAATTGTCAGACTAATGTGCCAAAGATATCTCATTCCAATCAAAGAAGTATTCCATTCCATTAAAATTTTACAAAGTTAAGATCAGCATTAATTTAAGAAAATAGTTACGGGTGATATGACATTAAATTCATAAAAAATTGTTTTTATTGATGTACACTTTAAAATATGATAGAATATAGTAAAATATGCAAGACAAAATTTTTGACATGTTTGCGGTTCAGATCAGAATATCCGTCCCTCGGCGGGTACCCTTGGGAGAGATATTCTGATCCGAACTGAAATATACAGTTCATATATGACATATATTATAAGACTATCCGTATAATGAACCAACTGTGTTATGAAGTGTGAAATTTGTTAAAGGTTTCATAGTTTCTATGCAAAGTTGGATCTAAATTTCAACATACTTTTAACTAAATATTAGTTTTATTGTTAAGAAACAAAATAAAAACTGGTGTTGGTAGAAATTTCTTTGTTGTTGCCAATAGCAGCTGAAACACACGAGGTCTATAAAATTATTGATCTTTTTAAAGGGTAACTAGAACTGTGTCCAAAGGACACGGATGCCCCCACTGTGCAGATGTGCACCGGTTTAAGAGGAGTTGCGTTCACAAAATTTCTATAATTATGGTATATAGTGAAAAAATTAAAACAAAGGGCCATAATTCTCTTAAATTTGGTTGCAGCAAAAATTCCTTCCTTATCTTCCATCTACACATTAAGGTTGTTCATCCCTGGAAGTTTAAGCAAAATCTGCCATCCGGTTTAAGAGGAGTTGCGTTCACAAGATTTCGGGACGTACGGACATACGTACAGACGGACTGACGGACAAGTGCAACGCTATATGCTCCCCACTTTGTGGGGCCATAAAAAGCAAAAAATAAGAGGAATGTAAACTTTCTTGCTCAAGGAAACAATCTTGACAATAGACTTTTCAAAGGGGGATATTTTAATATACAGACTGAAAATCCAAACAATTTAAGCAGCACTTTAACTGATGATATGGATCGCCAATCTGTTAATTATCAGACATATACTGGTCATAAACCCTTTTCTTGCATTTTATTAAAGATTTTTGAAATTAGGGTACAAATTCATTTCCCATACCTACATGTAAAAGTATCTAGAGTGGGAACAGTGTTCTAGCAGTAACACTGAAATGAAATCAAATAAAGATTTTGCAAGTTTGTTGTCTTTCTACTCAAACCAAAATAACAAACACCGTATAACCTTTTATAGCTGTGTCATTTTTTTATTGATGATGAAACATAAAATATCAATTCCACAGTATGATTGTGGCAAATGCATAAAATGAGAGCATAAGTAACATATATACCAGTAACATCAAATGAAATAAAAACCGAATATTTCAATATACATATTTATAGCACATTATAAAATAAAGCTAACAATCTTAAACCTCTAGCTAAAATGCATAATAAATGCATATTGCATGATTAAGCAGTCAAAATTGACATAGCCACTCACCGAATTAAACTGTTACCTGCCATTTACCACCATATTTAAAATCGCCCAACATTTTTGCCTAATTTAAGGCATGAGTGGGAACTTAGGTCAAACAAGCAATTATCATAGTATTGCAAGCAATCCATAAGTCCCCTACCGGTAAGAGCCCAAGCAACATTCTGAAGGGCCATTGGCCATTCACTTAGGTTCCTATTTTAAGTAAATTTGTTGAAAAAGTTCTTTAAAAATGATCACAGGAAACAGTTTTTATGTACAGACAGACGGACTGAAGGACACTCTAAAGTTATTTTTTAAACATCCCTGTTATCAATATATAACATTTTTTAAAATCCTATCATGATTGAAGAAGTTGGAGTAAAAATTACCAATTTCTAAAAAAAAGGCTAAGTTCAAAAGGGGCATAATTCTGGAAATAGTCTTGCTAGAGTATTGAACACTCACAAAATTAATGTTGAGTGACAATAAGAAACATTTATATGAAGTTTGAAGTAGATACATTCAGAAAAAGAAGTTATTAAAAAAAACAGTTATTAAAAAAAACAATGTTTTTTTCATGAAAATTTTAAGTTCAAGGGAGGTAATTCTGATAAATTTTGTGCTAGAGTTGTAAACCTTGTCACATATGATGTGGTTGATGACAAGCAACTTATATTTAAAGTTTGAAGAAAATACCTTAAGAAATAAAGAACTTATAGTGAAAAAACTTAAAAACTAGAATCAGAAATCTTGAAATTCAGTCTATTTGTTGCCATAGCAACCAGAATTTTCAACATAGGAAGATAAAAAAGGATGTGCATAATTTCCATACTGCCATCTACCCATATGTCAAGTTTCATAAACATATTTTCAGTACTTTTTGTGTTATCACTGGATCCAGGTTATGTGTAAAATTTGCCATATTTTCAGTCTATTTGTTGCCATAGCAACCAGAATTTTCAACATAGGAAGAAAAGAAAAAGACGTGCATAATCTCCATACTGCCATCTATCCATATATCAAGTTTCATTAAAATATCTTCAGTACTTTTTGCGTTATCGCGGGATCCAGTTTTGTGGACTGACGGACGGACGGACTGACGGACGGACAGACGGACGGAGGGTAAACCTAAAGTCCCCTCCGGTAAACCGGTAGGGGACTAATAAACAACATTTGATAAACTAAATGAAGCGTTCCATAATTTCACAGGCATACTAAGTAGTACGCTTTTAACCTACAGAGACGCTGTGATTCTGTCTTTACATACTAACATGTCAGGATTTTCATGATAAATTAGTACGAAATTTGAAACATATGTCAACATTTTCATGTTTTATATGTAATGATTATACTCAAGCAGCATTTTCATTGCCATTATAACGAGAAGCATGTCACCAAAATGGATATATAATATCAATGAAAAGAAAATGAAATTAAAAACGCTAATTTGAAATTTGCTGTTGTGGCAGACGGCACACAACGCCACAGCTGGCATCGCTTAATGACGTAACGTCACTTCCCTTATTTTGTCTGAATATATTTGTATGTATGATAAATGCTACTGAAGAGGTCGAAAGCTACGGTAAATTCAAATTAGCGTTTTCAATTATATACGACAAATTAGAGATGTATATTCTCAAAATGAGAAACCCATGGTAACAAGCACTATAAAATTCAAATAATAATTAAAAACATCACAACAAAAGAAAACAAAAATAAGCAAATTTTAAACAATAGCCTGATTAAAAGAGCAAAAAGTTTGGCCCAAGCTTTTAATATTTCAATATATCACAAGGCTTTTGAACCTATACATGCATAATTATATAATACACAATAACAACAATAAATGCTTTATAAATATGTACCTAAAGTCCTAATTTAATGCTTACAATGATTTAGGCGTATATACAATAACAATGGAAATAAGGCAAGCTCTATGAAGCAGCTAAATTAAATAATTAATTCCTACACAATATACTGTAACAAATTTGTCTAGGTTACACACCACCAAATTCCCTCATAGTTAAATATAATAGTTAAACATTTTTCTGTTTCAACATTTCTGATCCATTCAAAAATAAGTAATTCACAATATGGTATTTAAATGCAATTTCTTTATTCTAATTTGTTGTCATCTTTTGCACAGAAACTAAAGCAAAGACTTGAATAGGGTGTTTGAAAGTACTCGGTAAACACATCAGTTAACAATATAAAAACTGAAGCAAATGCCCTTCAGAAGCTTGGCATATGCAACAAATATTAACAATTTACATGAAAGCACTCTAGTGTATATACTACATGAAACATTCAATACTGCATTTAAACACAACAAGATTTTAACATTAATTCTTTAGTCTTTAAAGGCCCATTATGCCCCAGAAATCCTTTTTTAAAATATTTCTCAAGTCTTTTATTTTTTGTGTCCTGTTAAAGGTTTCCAGAAAGTTACTAATTGGTCAATTATCTGAACTATCTTTTGCTTCTGTTGCCTTTTGGCAATTAGTATAATTATAGTGATTTAGTACGGAAGTCAAAATACTACTTTGTTTACATTTTGCTACTTTTGTGACAAATAATTTCACATTTAGCACTCCTGTCTTCAAGTGAAAAACATCTAACATGCTCTAAAATAATTTATTAAAAATAATAAAACTCAAATTTTCCCTTTTTAAAAAGGAAAAAAAAAATCTTTTGTGAGGAATAATGTGTCTTTAATGTGCCTTTAACATAATAACTGGCCTTTTATCTCGGTAATATCATGAATAAAAAATTTTTTTGCTACAACTTTCACTATCTTACTTGTACCATTTCATATTTTATCACATACCCGTGCCGATTTTGCGACTCTGTAAAAACTGTATTGCAAGGCTGTGCATGTATTTTTACATGACCTTATTGGCATTATACAAACAAAGCCTAAAGATGTGCTAAATGTTAGTGTTACACCATATGCATGTCAAAGTTAGTGATTTTTTTTTATCGCTGTAAACAGTTCAGATTTTGGGTACATTATAAATTGAATACATTGTATTATATTCGTCTATATTCCATACTAAAACAATTATTGGACTTGTTGAATAAAACTGTATTATGCTCGCCAATGTGCTTACATAAATTTAGTATAGAACCAACACTCATTTAATATGCTCTATTACCCAATTTTTTACAACAATGAAAATAAAGTTAAATAGGTCAACATACATGTATGGCGAAAAAAAAGTTTTAGAAGACTTATTTCCCATTGATTATACACGCTTTTTAATATTTAACTGATATCAGTATACATTTGTATTTGTTAAAAACAAAATACAAATAAATACTTCTTCACATACAGCCATACCTGTGTTAAAAAACCATTTCTAAATTAAGACCACCCTGTGAATAAAGACCACTCTTCGACAGACCTTTATTGATTAAATACAACAATGCTACCTCCAAATACAGACCACCTGTCTATAAAGGCCATGTTCAGAGTCTCCTTTGGATGGTCTTTGTTTACAGATTTGACTGTATCGAGAAATGATCTGATTGGGATTTATGTAACTTAACATGGTCAATATCTCTTCTTTTGTATAAAATAACCAACTTTTTATAATAGAAATTTTTGGTAATATGTATGAGCATATTAGCTATTTTTTACTTGTAATAAAATATTAATCCATTTCAGACTGAATGTAGTTATTAAAGTATAGCAAAGTATACTATTATAATAATAAGGTAATCAAATTTTGTTTCAACAATTATTGGTTAAAAAAATATACAAAAGATACCGAACTACGGTAATGTCCATCTCAGTGGGGTATAAACTTATGACTGGCAAACTAAAAGTTTACTTTCAAATTCCAGAACCTATACAATTTATTTATTTATTTATTTATTGTCATATCTGGAGAGAGTTTAAGATTTAGCATCAAGTTCTTTCTTTTGTTCATTTGACTAGTTTAATATTAAAAAATTGAATAAAATGTCCCTTTACAAAACATTAAACCGTTATTTCTCTTAAGTAGAGCAATGATTTTTACACATGATGCACCACATTTTTTATATCAGAAACAAACAGCTTTAAGGTATTTTGGTTCACATTTTGTCATTATCAAAAAAAATAAATCTCTCATATACATATAGTCAGCTTATCATAGCTTCATATCTGTCTATAGCCACTCAATATCTTTATATTCAGTTTAATATTTAATGATATTTAACATTGATTTCCTTTCTTAAAGAATTGAAAATTTTCACCAAATTTTCTAACTTTCATAAAGTTTATAAAATACAACAATTATTAAAGCCCAAATGATTAAAACCCTCCATAATTCATACAAGTATCAGACAAACAGCTCAGCTGTACGACAAACCAATATGGTTTGGTATCACACTACAGCCGCCCCGCATCCGGCTCGACTAACCAGCATGTTATTTATAAACATCCATCGATCTGACTCGACATCATAACACTCCCCGCTCCTTAGTCTGTATCCGCCATCAAATCCACCCAGTACAAATATTCTACAATCAAAGATGGCGACCCCCGGCCACGCTCGGGGCGTGTTCATCTGTGACAGGGTCGTCCATTGACAAGTAAGAACGTTAAACCTGGAAAAGGATAAAACTTCTTGAAAAGGCAATTTAAGTATTGATCAACTTTGCTAGTAGAAAACCAATTACAGTCTTACTTGCCCATGCGACCATGTGTATTAAGCAACTTTGTCTTATACGACCACTTTAAATTCCCCCGATCATTTTCTCTCTATATCTGTATTAACCGACTTTTGCTCAACGCGACCAGCGACTGCTAATTAGGCAGCTTATTGAGATCTTTTCATTAAACGACCACTTTACCTGTCAAGAATTTATGTTTTTAGAGAAGGCCGCCTTGTAATGTCACAAGTCTCAACAATCAAAACACAATATAAAAATGTGTGAAAAACTCAATTTCCCAAACCATTTTAGCATATGCAAATGAAGTTAAGTATACGCATGACATGTATTTTCCAATAATATCGCTAAAACAATGCAACGCTCCGCCCCTACTGAGATGGTGTATATGCTTCGCTGGTGATATTTAGACTGCATTAAATTGACCTTGATCAGCAATTAAATTAATTGTTGCAATTAGATGTAGTTTGTTTATTTCAAATGAAAATGCACAACAGAAAACATCTTCACTAACTAGGCTTTTTGTGTGGGAGACAAGGAAAAACAGAGGACAAAATTCTGGAAAAATGTCAAGCATGTACATAATGGATCAAAACTGTTTTGTCAATAAATATCAGAAAGTTATTTTTTACATTAGCATCACTTTAGATTATCTGAGCGTTCTCATTATGATAATATATAAGTTGAAAAAAATTCCCACCGCAAAAGAAAGATGTCATTATGTTTCATTAAAGCGACTGTTTTGTGAGTTTCCCTTGCGCGGTAGCTTAATACATGTTTGACTGTAATTTATATCACTTGAGGTCCTCATTAAGTGGGTATCTAATATTAGGTCCTTACAGCTCCTTATTATACAGGGGCTTTCACAGCAGAGTGGTTAAGGTTGTTTACTTAACCAATGTGGGTTCGAATCCTGCCAGGGACTTTTGGGTTCTTTCATGTGAGGAAGCTATCCAGCTAGAATATGTAAAGTCGGTGGTTCTACAGAGGCTCCCAATCATGCCTGAAATAAGGCATGGAAGGACACCTTACGTTTTTCTCCACTAGTAAATCTTGACAGTCTCCACCTCTATTGTGCTGGGGTGTTGTAAAACAATTTGTGTAATCTAAACAGGTTGCTAAAACCTAAAACGTCATATATCAGTTACTTTTTTATCATTTAAGGTTTTCTGTATGTTGGTACAAAGAAACCTTCAAAGTGCCATATTATATAATGGTAACTGTTTATAATACAAGACGGCACATATATCTATTTCATTAATGATAACAAACCTTTCAACCAAGTCGTAATATTGATCGGTATGCCTGTATCTCCCTCCAAAAGCAAAGATGTTCTGGTCGATGGTCGCCAACACAAGACCCGATCTTGCTTTTTCCATCTCTGACATAAACATCCAAAGCCCCGTTGCTGGGTCGTAACATTCCATACTGGCGCGATCCATATGTAGCGTTCTATCATAACCTCCTGTGTGACGATAAAGAATACAGTTTTACAGTACATTCTTGCATATCAGACAGGATTATCTACCTTTTACACTGGTGCTAAAAAAAACCTGTCTCACATCCTCCGTGTAAGTGTAAGACAAGTCGCAAGCTTTAAATGATGTCATTCCTGCGCACCTTTTATACAAGAATTGTGTTTTTAAAATGAAGTCATTTTGCTGTTATTAACGAAGATGTAAATTGAAGAAAAAAGTGCTTGATGAAAATATTAGCTTTTCGTAATTTCTATCCGAAATATGATTAATATGTAATACACAGGACAAAAAAATCAAACACCCGCTGTCGCAACAGACCAGAATATCTAGCACTCAAGTAACTATTTAGCGGAATTTCAACAAGGCCTCCTCATTACCGCCCTAAGCAATTACCCCCTGGTGGTCAGTACTGGCAGCCAGTGTAAGATCCTAAGAACCTCTAATATTAACACACTTAAGTTGAGGTATTGCACTAGATAGGTTATACGTTTTGTGAAATTTTACCACGGGAAAAACTGAAACTGTTGCTTTACTGAGGGTCACTCTGCAGGAATTTTTTTGTCCATTTTCTTATATTCTTAACTTTTCTGACTACACTAATGAAAAGCATGTAAAAGAGTAAGTTATTCTTGCATAATATGGTTATTATCTAGTATGTGCACAAAAGATTTTATTCCTCAGTTGTAATCAGTCTGTTTGCCATTGTTTTTCTTTTCTTTTCTTTTATTGTTTTTAGTCCCCTACCGGTTTACCGGAGGGGACTTTAGGTTTACCCTCCGTCCGTCTGTGCGTCCGTCTGTCCTTCTGTCTGTCAGTCCGTCAGTCCACAAAACTGGATCCCGCGATAACTTGAAAAGTACTGAAAATATTTTTATGAAACTTGATATATGGATAGATGGCAGTATGGAGATTATGCACGTCTTTTTCTTTTCTTCCTATGTTGAAAATTCTGGTTGCTATGGCAACAAATAGGCTGAAAATATGGCAAATTTTACACATAAACTGGATCCAGTGATAACGCAAAAAGTACTGGAAATATTTTTATGAAACTTAAAATATGGGTAGATGGTAGTCTGGAGATTATGCATGTCTTTTTCTTTTCTTCCTATGTTGTAAATTCTGGTTGCTATGGCAACAAATAGACTGAAAATATGGCAATTTCTACACATAAACTGGATCCAGTGTTAACGCAAAAAGTAATAGAAGTATCTTTATGAAACTTGTAATATGTGTAGATGGCAGTCTGGAGATTATGCACATCTTTTTCTTTGACAATTCTGGTTGCTATGGCAACACATAGACTGAAAATATGGCAAATTTTACACATAAACTGAATCCAGTGATAACTTAAAAAGTACTGGAAATATTTTTATGAAACTTGACATATGGGTAGATGGCAGTCTTGAGATTATGCATGTCTTATCTGTTCTTCTTATTTTGAAAAAATATTGGTTGCCTTGGCAACAAATAGGCTTAAAACATGGCAAATATAACAATATTTGTGATTAGCCAAAGAGAGCTGAAAATTTTTTATGAAATTGCATCTTTAATTCCAGAGTTATCTCCTCTTTAAGAATTTTGCTTTTTAAATTGTTATATTTTGGTAACGGATGTTTCAAATATTAAATTTAGAGTGTCCTTCAGTCTGTCTGTCTTTTCAACAAAACTGTTTCCTGTGATCACTTTTAAAGAACTTTTCCAACAAATTTACTATAAAAACATTAGAGAATGGCCAATGGCCCTTTAGAATGTTGATGGGGTTCCATCCGGTAGGGGACTTATGGATTGCTTGCAATACTATGATAATTGCTTGTTTTGTTGTGTTTTTTTTTTGGTTTGTTAGATAAGCAATAATCTGTGCACACAAGTCTTGTGTATTTTTGTTGACTAACATAAGATAGTTAACAATTAAGTTTAAACATACATTGTATACATTTAAGCTAAACTGTCAAACAAGTTCATGCAACTTATATTAATCAATTTCAATCAACTCACTGTCATGGCTAATATGATATGGACAAGTACTTATAAGCAAAAAGCTTTCTAGATGAAAGAATATGTCAGATTCAAATGGGCAACAAAGTAGAATCACATACCATTAGGTACAAGTAGCTAGATATCTTCCTGATTCTTTTTTGTAGCTTTTATTGATAAACAATATAATAACTACATGTAACTCACAAAAGCATACATACTCTATGTCTTGTTCACAAATCATTTCAAAGTTGTTGCTTTTTTTCTTCTCAGCCATAAACATTTCAATGACTTTTTCAAGAAATCCAATTTTTTTCCAGAACATGAAGAAAATTAGCTCATTACAAAATTCATAAGTTAACATTTTGTCACCTTAGTGTAGTAATGGATTAACTCATATCAAGTTTTAAAGTTGCCTGCCTCCAGTAGGCTAGTTTTGCATATTCTGACCACTTTTTGGTAATTTTTGTGGATTGTTAGTGCCCTTTGCAATATGTAAACTACATTCTTTGTTCACTTCACTTGTTTAATTCTTAGAAACATTTTCAAAGTTATCATGAATATTAGCATGAATCTGGAGGCTTGCTGCTTTAATAGAAATTAACCTGACTAAGTTGACGATTTATATGTGTATTAGTACCTGCTACATATATCCTTCCTTCACACACTGTTATACCAGCACCAGCCCGTCTTCTCTTCATACTCGCCACAAAGTTCCACTGTTCGGTTTTAGGGTCGTATCTTTCTACCAGATTATAACCACATGCTTTATCCTCACCTCCTGAAATAAGACATCAATGTGTTCATAAAGAACACATGCAGCAATATTAAATGTGTTTAAATATGACAAAGTTCCAGTGAAATATCCTGAATGTGAAATATTTGACCTTTTACTAGTTTAAGGTCATGGTCATACTAGGGTCAAGGTCATAAAAGGTTGTTGATCAAGGAAGGTAATAATTGATATGTGAAAAGTATTTATACATAAAAACATTTATTGCTAAGTCATTAAAACACAATTCAAATTCTTTTGAAATAGCACATGAGTTTCAGAACATTCATACATTCAACATATTAAATGCTTGTTACTTGAACAAAGTAGACTTTAATGTGAAATTATTTGTCATAAAAAAGCAAAATGTATACAAAGTAGTATTTTGCCTTCCATACAATATACAAAATCACTATAACTGTATTAATTACTAGAAAGCAACAGAAGTAAAAGATGATTCATCAGGTAATTGGGATATGACTTACTTTTTTAAAACTATAAAAGTACATAAAGATAGAAAGCTTTTGGGAAATACAAATAAATTCATTTCTGGGCTTAATGGGCCTTTAAAAGAAAGAACGCAGAAAGATAGAACGCAGAAAGATACAACATAGATAAACATACAAGTGTCAACTTAAAAAACAAAACATGTAAAGCCACTTTCATATACCAGAAGTAAACTGACTTTTCCTTGATTGTTAATTAAACTATGCTTATTACCAATGTCAAACACTTGAATAATTTTCCTAGAAGAAGCTTTTAAAAACTGACAGGAATAGATTATGTCACTTAATTAGAACCAAAATCTTTCAAACTAGAGGATAAAATCTTTCAAGTATGAAATTGTTAAAACATTTTCTACTATATACCTATTGCATACAAAAACCCATGCACTGCAGCCACAGCGACAAATGATCTGGCAATTTTCATTTCTGGCTTGGGAATCCATTGCCTTTGGACTGGATCATAGCATTCCATACATCGCAGGTACAGCGTGTTCTCCTGTGTATCAATGAGTGCGCACTCCCCACCCACTGTATACAACATTCCGTCCAAGGTGGCAGAGCCGATAGCAGTTCGAGCAATGTTCATTCCAGGCTGAAAAATAAATATTAATCCAAAAATACATGTATAAATATGTAGAGGATAGTAAGATAGTAAATGTTTGTTTGTTTTAGGTTTTACGTCACATCGACACAGTATAGGTCATATCGCGACGTTCTCTGGTGGAGGAAGACCTCAGGTGCCCTTCCGTGCATTATTTCAGGCACAAACAAGCACTTGAGTAGAACCACCGACGTTCCGTAAGTTATCTGGATAGCTTCCTCACATGAAAGAATCCAAAGTCCCTGTAGGGATTCGAACCCACAGCGGTGAGGGGCAAGTGATTTGAAGTCAACCACCTTAACCACTCGGCCACAGACGCCCCATAATGTATATGTCGCCATGTCAATGTGTTATTACAGTTAGTCTAACATCACTTTTATGGTTTTTTTTACATTAATGTACATATTACATCATTATTTTCAAAGGTATAAACACTTGAAAATACATCATTTACAACTGTACTATAAATAAGTAATTTTTGTAACATTTCATTTGCATGATCATCTTTTCTAAAATTTCAAACAGTTCAATCTATCACTCTTCGCAATTAAAAACTTTCACTTTTTGCAATACAAAATACTTAAGATATCATCAACAAGAGCTGTCAGTAAGACAGTGTGCTTGACTATTCTCAGTTCTTGATAGTAATGTGGCATAACATTGTAAAAAATAGCTTGATACAGTTACCTCCTCCTGTCTACAGGTTGGGGGCATAATGGTGAACAAGTATGCTAAGTTTCAAATCCAGATGTCAATATATTTGTAAATATTTGAGGTGGTACACAAAATTTTAACATAAATTCTATGTCGAAAAAGGGGCATAATTCTGTCTGAAGTGGTATGCAAACTTTAAAATAGGTGGTTATGCCGACGTCAACTGAACACCTGCACTCAGGGTACTAGGATAGTTCTCCTTATTCTTAACATGACTCAATAGACAGTAACAATACCTCTATTATTTGAAGGATGAGCTAAACAGGATCTAAAAATTATAAAAAAATATTGTCTTTGTTGTTTTTGAGACAACTTGCACGTAAAAACTTAACCAAAGTGTGATGCTGGCACCGATGCCTTGGTGAATACAATAAATCTCCCTATTCTTTGAATAGTTGAAATAAAAAATTATTCAATATTTATTATTATACATTGTATAAGATTTACCATGGAACTCCAGGTGTCTGTTAAGAAATCATATCTCTCCATACTTTTAAGCTGACAATCTTGACTGTTTCTTCCACCTACCACATATATACACGGTGGATGTGCCCTTGGTGTTAGTAACTCCATATTCTTTCTCTCGTATTGACAACGTATGGCTGAGCTTATCAGCGACTGGCATTTATGACATGTCCGGAAAAAATCAGATTTAATCACAACATTCTCTAGCATAGGAAGTTCAAGAAGACCGAGTTTTATATGTTTTAAAACATTACACGCACTTTCTAATCTAGATTTAGTATCATATTTGAGCCATGTATAAGCAGCATCAAAAACTTGGGATTCTGACATAACATGAAGCTGGTCACTACG